ACGTCGTCAGGGACCCCCCGCGCCGCTGCCGTAGAATCATGGAATGGTCTAGTTTGGAAGGGACCTTTCTGATCATTGAGTCCAACCACCAACCTCACACTGACAAGAGCCACCACTAAACCATAACCCTCAGCATCACGTCTGTCCATCTTTTAAACACCTCCAGGGATGGTGATTCCACCACTGCCCTGGGCAGCTTGTTCTAATGCTTGATAACCCTTTTGGTGAAGAAATTTTTCTTAATATCCATCCTAAACCTCCCCTGGTGCAACTTGAGGCCACTTCCCGTCCTATCACCCGTCACTTGGGAGAAGAGACTTTCAGGCAGTCACAGAGAGCGATGAGATCTCCCCTCAACCTCATCTCCAGCCTGACCACCCCCAGCTCCCTCAGCCTCTCCTCATAAGACTTGTTCTACAGAGCCCTCACCAGCTTCATTGCCGTTCTCTGGACACGCTCCACCACCTCAATGTCTTTCTTGTAGTTAGGGGCCCAAAACTGAACACAATATTCGAGGTGGGGCCTCACCAGTGCCTTCACAGGTGGGGCCACCACTGCCCTAGCCCTGCTGGCCACACCATTCCTGATACAGGCCAGGATGCTGGTGGCCTTCTTGGCCACCTGGGCACACTGCTGGCTCACATTCAGCCAGCTGTCGACCAACACCCTCACGTCCTTTTCAGTTTTCCAGCCACCCCTCCCCACCAAGCCCGTCGCGTTCACGGGGTTGTTTTCACCCAACTGCAGGACCCTCACACCATCGGCCTCGGCCCATGGATCCAGCCTGTCCCGCTCCCTCTGCGGAGCCTCCCACCCTTCGGCAGACCGACACTCCCCGAAGGCCACGCTCAACCTCCCCCGTCGCTCCCCCGCCTCACCTTCCCGCTTCCCGCCGGGCCCATCACCAGCTGCGCGTAGCGGGGCATGGCGGCGGCGAAGCGGCGCCAAATGGCCCCTCCAGCGCCCCGTAGCTCGCCTGGTCACGTGCGGCGGGCGAGCCAATGGCGGGACCGGGGAGCCGGCGGGCTCAAACCCAGCGGCGCCGCGCCCCGCCCCGCCCCGTTACGCGCGGGGCTCTCGCGAGACGGCGGCGGGGCGGGCGCACGTGCCGCGCGGTGTGTGAGGGGAGCCGCCGCCACCGGGGGAGGAGCAGCAGCAGGAGCAAG